TCTCTCTCTCTCTCTCTCTCTCTCTCTCTCTCTCTCTCTCTCTCTCTCTCTCTCTTTCTCTGCCTTTCTCTGGCAATAACGTCGGCCAATACTGACCTAGATCAGTCCGACTGTTTCGCGATAATAGGACTGCATGTTCCCTTAAGGCTCTGGATTACTCATTGTAGTTATATTGGATTACAACATTATTAAGCGAGAAATTACATATAATTTCCACTCCCATTGAAATGTTAACGCTCCGAAATGCTCTTGGTATATCAGTACGCGAATATTCTAGCGAGCGTTGACCCGAATAAACATCGTAGTCTCTATATAGTTAACCGGTAATGGATCATTACACGAAATAATATCGATCAACACTTCTCAGAATATATATTAAGTTTGCATAGGAATATCGACTACGTAGTATCTTTGAAATATTGCATAGGTAAACGAGCATGCTTAAAGCTATATAAAAATAGAGCAAAAATAAACCATGGCAAGGTGGAAACTCAAAATCCAACATGCGAAACGAACCAAGCATTATTTCGGAGGATCCCGCGGGATTCGCGAGAGACTGTCGTTGCCAACGAGAGAGAGAGGCTCTAGATCGAAACTCCGCGTCCGTCCAACGATTGTTATTGGTTGAAGGAAGAGATCGATGCGCGAGTAAAGAGGACCAATCCATGAAAACAAACGAAAGATTCCGCAGATCGTGAAATCTCTCGAGAGATGTTCCGCCAGGATCGGAACTGCAAGCGAAAAAATTTTTATCTCACGTAGGAAGGGTTAAAAACAAGCGTAGCATAATTAAAGTAATGGTAATACAGCAGTGTGTTAGGATTTTTATTGATATTTTTGTTAATATCTTTGATGCTGGAAAAACATAAAATTTCAATAAGCTACAATTAAGTGTTTAAATATGCAATAAATATCGATATTGTGTATATGACAAAAGATGGCTAAAATATGAGAAATTTACGTGTAAAAACTGAAAATTTACGCTACTTTCGGAGATAAATTTTTCTCGGTCTAACTTAAATAATTTAAAAGTCTTCTTGCGTCGGCCCTGCTTCTTTCCCGAGAGAAACATCGCGGCGCTTCGGGAACAAACATCCACGAAGACGGACCGACCGTACGATAATGAATTCAACGAACGTATAATGCAGGATTTAACGTTACAAGAAAAATACTTGATATTCTTGTCAAGCGAGAGCCAACCTTCGAGTCGAAAATTATTTGCGGCATACGTTCTTTCTACTATTGTAGTTATTTTACTATTATTTTTATTTATGTACTCTATTATAATAGCTAATTCGATGTACATTTTCATCAAGATATAATCCTATTTTGCAGAAAAGACCCGTAAATTAAAGGAATTGTTAATTGTTCGAAAGAACTGTGCAACTCTCAGCGTATCTTGACGCCCCATTAACATAATGTACGAAGGCTAGAGGCGAAGATGCTTGGTATTTATTACGTCTCCGCAAACTAGATCTCGCGAGGTAATCGCGCAAACTTGTCACATGTTACCATTCCGTTTCTAAATACTCGCGGAACACAGATTATTCCACATCGGGATTATGGAGTCTGGCACACCGAATTAGAGCGAACTATACGCGGAAGAGCTTGTTTCCTACAATAGTAGTGTTTCAAGCTCTCGACAGGCCTGACACGTCAGGCTCATCTGTCAACTCGTAGGAACAATGCACAGAGTCAGGAAGACTTATGCGAGAACCGTTGAAGTTGCGTCTCGGTTTGATCGCGAGACAGTTTTCCCCTCAACGAGAATTGAAACTTGAATGACGGCCATTGTAAAGTTCTATATGTGAAATATAAACATTTTCTTATTTCGATCACGAATAAGTTTTCTTATCTAAATAAAAATCTTATTTATACAGGACTCTTATCTCATTAACAGGATGATACAGAGTTTCATGGATTCATTATTTGATAATTCAGAATTTATGGAATACTACAGGCTTCTTTATTTGCCAATGATAATTTAAAAATTGTCTGTAGTAAGAGTTTTAAAATATTTAATTGGCAATATCAAAATAATTTGACGATTAAAGCTTAAACTAAATTTCTGCAATGATAAAATTAAAATTAAATAATTAAAGACCAAGATTTTTTTAGCTCAGAAATTTTTCGAAAATTTTAAACCGACAGAATTTATAAAAGAATTTATAAAATTAAAACTAATATCATTAATTTTTATAATTAGATTAAAGCTTATAAAAATTATCGTTGACAAAAATAAAAACCAAGTATATATTTAAGAAATAAAAAATACATGCAAAGAAAATTTTATTTTTCTTATAGAACTAAACATAGTATCTACTAAGATTTTTCCAAAT